TAAAGTCAGGCCGGTGCAGGTCCCAGCCTCAGGCTCCTCCTCCAGAGCCTGGAGTGGGGAGGGGTCCGTTTCCAGGCCTGTGGGCAGGCTCAGGAAGGACAGGCGGGCAGATCGAGAGTGAGTTCTCGGGGCCACCTCGCCCCTGCACCTCACCCCTGCCCGCTAGCCACCCGAGACAAGGCCTGAGCAATTCCATGAGAAGGACACTGACCTCCACGGCTCCACTCAGCCTGTGATGACCCTGTGGCCCTGGGGGTCTCTCCGGTCCTGGCCAGCCTTTGCCCTGGTAAAGGGGGACATCAGAGGCTGAGCCACACACGGGTCCTGAGTCGGGCTGAGAGCAGCAGGGAGCCCATAACCCTCCTGGGCTCTGACCCAGGAAGAAGCTTTTGGGACCGGGTGGCAGTGAGCACTGGGTGTGCTGACACACAGTGAGCTGGGACCCGGGAGGGCAGTCAGAGGCCTGAGGCCAAGGAGCCAAGGCCGTGTGCACCAGAGCAGGGAACGGTGCCCAGGCCGGAGCCGGGTTTTGGGGTGCCAGGCCATGCTGTGTGGGCTCGGGAACACCCCACATGCCTCCCTGCGACTGGCAAAGCCTAGTTCTCAGAACCCAAGGGTTGCGGGGGGGGGTCTTCATCTTGGAACTTGGAGAAGATTCGAAGGGCCTGGTTGAGAATAACTGCACTGTGTTCCTGAATGAAGTAAATACCATTTACTAAAAGGTGCAGAGGTATATGTGTCCCTACACTACCTGCTGATGTATATTCAAGGGGTCACACAGAGTCCCCCTCACATGCGTGGTCAGTGCCTCTTCATTAGGTTACTGGTTGGCTCTAAGCTGAGCTTATGTTTGAGTGGAAAGCAGGCTCTGCTGTGGTCTCTGCCCCTTTCCAAGTTCGCTCTGCAGCACGCTGTCTCCTGTGGGACACCTGACCCACTGTGGGCCACATAGGTGAGCTTCCTTCCATCAGAGAGGAGGCAGCAATTACAAACTCAGTCTCAATCTCTCATACAGCTGCTCAAAGTTTTGTCTTTAAAGTACAGGTGATTTCTGAAGTGAATTCTTATAAATCTGACATAATCGTGTAACAGTTGAATGGGAGGGAGGCAAGGTTCCAAAATCAAACTATAACGGTTCAGTTCCCAGTTTTGCAACATTAAAACTGTAGGCATATAAATGTGTCCGTAAGTGTTGTGTGGTGAGTTACAGACCTTCACTGAGGCTCCATTTTCCTAAACCTGCAAAGAGGGGACGACAGACCCTACAAGGCTGCTTCCACGAGGTTCATTTAATTAAATGAGATGATGTGTGTGCAGTACTTAGCATAGTCCCGGGAAGGTGAATACACACACTAACAGTCGGCTATGTTAGTGAAGTCAGTACTGAACACAGCCAGGACAGACGACCCTGGAAAATGGCGTCCTAAGAGAACTGGGCAGAATTGTAGCAGCCCTCTGCCTGGCCTTACACTCCCAATACTTCCCTCCTCAGCTCCATACTCTGCAGTCTCCACAGCTGCTTCCCAAGAAACAGATCCTATTACAGTGCCCTGAGTTAAATCCATCAAGGATCCCCTGGCTCAGGATGGAAGCCATGCTGCTCGGCTTGGCTTGCACGGCCTCTCACAGTGGAAACCCCACCTCCCTTTCACCCCGTGCCATGCACTTGGTGCTTGCCTTTCTGTGCAGGAATGCCAACCCCTCCTTGGCCCTGCAGGTGAGCGAGCTCCAGTGTCACCTCCTCTATGGAGTGCTAGTTCCCTAGCACTTGCTAAGGGCAGGAGTCTGCTAGTTAAACCTGTGAGCTATGGAACCACACTGCCCAGGTTTAAATTCCGACTTCTCCCTGTGACCTTGGGCAAGTTCCTTCACCTGTCCTTCCCATGGAATTTTTATCTGCAAGATTCAATATTGTTGAATCTATAAATTTATTAAAGAGAATTAAGTGAGCTAATGTATAGGAAGCAGGTTAGTGCATAGAAAGAACAGTCCCTGACACATAGTAAGTGCTCAGTAAATATTAACTATACTAGTAACAGTTATTACTATCATCATCATCATCATTATTCCTATTCCACCAAAACAGAAGCTCTCTAGTGGCTATTTTGTTCACTGCCTGGCACATAAGAGGTGCTGGGTATACAGCGGTTGAATAACACACAGCCCCTTGCCTGTGGTTACTTGTTTATACATCCTCCTCAGCAGGCCGTGAGCACCTCAGTTCTTCGAATCAATCCTGTGCGCCAGAGGTCTGCTCAGTGGGCACAGAACAGAAGCTCAGTAAGCATTTGCTGAACGGATGCATGAACAAACCTCGGAGGTTGTGTGCACGTTATCTCCTAGTAACACATTAGCCTCAGGTCTAAGTTTATCAGAAAAGTGTGTCCTGGGCTTGATGGTGCTCTTTTGCAGTCCGTGTGTAATGGCGGCTACAAGATCTTGAGTACCAGGCAGTGCATTTGGGGGCTTTACGGGGGTGGGGCTGTCTGTAGAGCAGGAAAAGGTTCTTCCGGAAGCTCCTGCCCCCAGGCACTCCACTCCCTAGTGCCCCTCACTGCATCTGCCCCTTCTGAGTCCCACGTGTCTTCCAACGACACAACCAAAGAGAACTGTGGTTCATGAGGGGCAGATCAAATCTGGACCGAGAAGGGTCAAAGGTCTCTTTATCCGAATCCAGGAGGTCTTCCTCCTCTCTCCCTTGTGAGCCAGGTCCTTCACCCTCCCCACTTCACAAGAAACCTTCTCCTTCTTCCAGAAGGAAATGTAAATATTTCCGCACAATACATCAGCCTTTCTGCTTCTCTGTCTAAAGGGAAATATAGAATCAGGGGAGGGGAGATGAGTATATAATGTGAATAAATGTAGTCTATGGTCTTCACTTAATTATAAGTCAACACTAAAAGACCACTGTTTATAAGCCTCTTAGTAACCAAAACCACTTCTTATTCCAAGTGCAAACAGATTTATGACCCAGCATACCCACCATGTTTTCTGTCTTGGGGACATAAAGGGAGGGTGAGCTTGATGTTTGGACATGATAGCTTTCATCCCAATTGCCCGGCCATGGCTGCTTCCATCTCACTGCTCATTTATCCTCACGTCAGTGCAATAAGGCAGGTGAGGTTCAGCATCTCCATTGTTGTATGGGCATGGAATATAGAAACTGAGCGATCTAGGGAAAGGTCCTTAACTAACAACAAGCTTGGGAAACACGTATGATTGTGTCATCCCCAAGAGCATCGCTCTCTGCCGTGGCTCATGCATAAACGCTGTGGGTCCAGGGGCATCCTCTCTACCACGGCATGTCCATGGCTGGCCCCTGCGCTCTCTCCCCGCCCACACTGCCCAGCCCTGCACCTGCACCTGCACCTGTAAGGCTGCAGCTCCCTCGGGGCAGTCAGGCATTCCCAAGTCTTGGCTGGGTGCTGGATGTTTAGTTCCCTGGCCTTTTGGTCAAAGACATTCCAGGGAGTAAGAGCTGCCTTTAAACAGCTTCCAGTCGCCCCCGCTGAGCAATCAGAGTGGGAGTGAGTCGTGCCCCGACTCTGCCATTACCAGCTGTGTCACCCTGCACAGGCCACCCCCCTTCCCCAGTAAATGGGGCGGAGGGGTGGCTTTGAGAAACTGACCATGCTGTGAATGGCCTCCCCTGAAGACACAGGCACCAAAAATCATGGGTGTCATTTCAGGAGGGTCATAGCCTTCTGTCCGTTTGAGCCCATTTGGATACCGCATTGGTCCACTGACCCTGGGTAAGAACCCGAGAGAGACCCTAAATGCAGATTTTTAAAGTAGTTTATTTCAATAGTTTATTTTCTCATAATATGGTGTGTGTTTTTTCTAAAGAAAGAAGAAAAATACCATAAAAATACTACCAGCAAAACTATCAATATTTTAGTAAATATTCCTCAATCTTTCTTTTTTATTTAAAAATTCATTAATTATACCAGGAATGTTTCTCATGTCATTTAAATAATATTTGAAAGCAAAATGTGTGCATGGTAATTGGCTGCATGGTGGTTCTATAGTGCATAATTAGCCCTTCCCTAATTGTTAAACATTTAGGTTTTCCCTTTATTATTATTATTATCTGTGCAGACATTCCTGATTGTTTTCTTGGGCTAAATGTAGAATTGCCAGCTTTACGTAGAAGGAGTACCTGTAACAATTAATACCTACCTAAGGGGAAGCCCCTTGCCATCTCCCCTCCTGAGAGTTGCACCCATTTCCACTCCCAGTAGCCAGGAGGGAGGCAGAGTGGAGGAGACTTACATCTGCTTCTTGAGCCAGCAACCCCAGAATCCCAACACTGAGTAGGATCTCTGTTTACTAAAAGTTAACAACTATCTCAGGCCACAACAATCGTGTCTATTTTCAGGGCTGGCCTAGGCACGTTTTGAAGTGGATGGAATTCGCCTTGAATGCCTGCCTCACTCCCTGGCCCTCAGCCCTCACATAACCTTGGCAGAGTTGACTCAGCCACCACACCCTCCCCTCCCAGGTTCAGCAGCAGCTGTTCCACCCTCCGCTCCCTGCCATCCCTCTGCCCTTTATTGCTTTCGATCGGCAGCCCCAGACTTTCCATTCACAGCCTCGGGAAGATCCAGGATGTGGGAGGCTGTCACTGGGCAGAGAGTGATGGCCCAAAGTGATGGGCAGGGGTAGGCCACCTCAACACCCAGGTGCCTGGGCCGCAACTGCTCTGTCTCTTGCAGGGTTGGTCCTTCAGTATGTTGCTCAAAGAGAAGAGCAGGGCCTCATTGAAAAAAACAACAAATATTTTTCTCATGAGAATTGGCTACATAGAGTGAGTGTTTGCCCAGAATGATGGGCAGTTTCAACAATTTGCTTGATAAACTGTGCTCTTCTCAGGGCCTTAAATCTGCATATTGGTGATGGGAGGGGGAGAGCACAGGTGTTGCTTTGCCCCGCCCTGAGCTCACCCGCTTGTTGCACACATGGCCTGCCCATGGCTGACCCCCTTTCTCTTGGCCCTGCAGTCCGATGGCTCCATCCTGGCGATCGCCCTGCTGATCCTGTTCCTGCTCCTGGCCCTGGCTCTCCTCTGGTGGTTCTGGCCCCTCTGCTGCACCGTGGTAAGTGCCCAAAGCTCCTCCTTCCCCAGGCCTCGGGCCACTCAAAGCCAAGGGTGACACAAAGTTAACAGGACCATGAGAAGGATAGGGTGACAAGACCCTGCAAACATTGAGGACAAGTCTTACATTGTTTATACAATTTATACAAACCCGATGAAAATGGCATTGTTCAATGGAACCAGGAGTCATGAGGAGTCCATATGGGTTAAGGAAGTGGGACATCCCATGGACACAGCCTTTAGGTAGGCAGCTGAGGTGGCTGCTCTGGCTCCGGTGCTTAGGAAGGATCCACAGAAGACTGCAAATGATGAGTGGTATTTGACATGTCATAAGCATATATGCATGTGTATGCGTGGTGCACACACACACACACTTGCGTTGCCCTCAATGAGTGGTATTTGACATGTCATAAGCATATATGCATGGTGCACACACACACACACTTGCGTTGCCCTCGCTGATGCTCTCCCAAGGCCACCTGGTCTTAGCAACCAGTCAGCCCATCTGAAAGAATGCCTCAGGGCTCTTTACTTTTAACAATAAAGAGTGGTGCCTACCTTTGTTTCTTTCCTTGTAGCTAACACTTACAGGACACACCTACTGTATGCCCTGCACTGGTCTAAGCACTTTGGCTACAAGGTCAATAAGAACCTGCCTCCACATCTGGAGCCACCGCATAGCTCAGACCAGTGTCTCCATGAATAGCTTAGGGCCTGGAGAAAGCTGCCTTCCCCTGCCACGCCCAAATGATACTGCCTGTTTACCAATTTCTGTTTACCAATTCCCTGGTTCCTAGACTAGGAAAAGCCCAAACAGAGTAATAGCCAAATGGAAAAAAAAAAGAAAAAAGGCAGGCTCAAAGGAGCATTGCCCAGCTGCCATGGCATCTTCCATTTTCTGTGTCTTAGTTCTTCCCAGGAGGGTCCTGCGGGGGGATCCACAGTGAGCCTTTCTAACCAAGAGCTTGTCACATGTTACCTCTGAAACGCCAGCACTCAGCACACAGTGCAAGGGGACTCACATCTGTATGGAGAACTGAGCTGAACCAAGACCATAACGTCGGAGTGCTAGATGTGAGGAGGAGGGGAAGGACCTTGGAGTGACAGTTTAAAGAAGGGGAATGAAGGAGATGAGACACTCAGCCAGAAGGTGCATCCTTGTGGCAGGAGCTTGTGGAAAGAGAGAGGCTCCTGCATCAACAGAAGCCCGTGGGTGTTGAGGGAAAGAGATGACTTACAGCAGACAAGAGTGGGTGTGTTCAGGGAGGGGCTCAGGACCTGTGGGAGTCTCCGGTCAACTAGTGTAACCCAGACTGGCCTGATCTCACCAACATGTTAAACTGATTCCTACCATAGTAGCCCCAAGAGTTAGGTGTTGTTTTAAATACCTGTGGCTGCACAGCCATTTTAGTTGGGGGAGGGGAATCATGAGTTAGCCAGAGTGCTTTCTATAGTGATTCAAAAAAATTTTTAAGGCACATTTTCAGGTCTGGAATTGGGGAGGGAGAACTTTGCAGTGGGCTCTTAAAGAAGCGGGTAGCCGGGGTTGCTGATGCTGGCAGCAGGCAGTGAAACCAGGGCTTCTGTGTAGTAGGCATCACTCTTGTTCACCTTGTCCCTTTGATTATTAAAAACAGTTACCTCTGGGCCAGGACAACTAGAAACAATAAAACAGCCAAGCAAGGCTTTACCACTTAACTAGCTGTGTGATCGTTGACAAGTTACTTGACCTCTCTGTGCCTCAGTTTCCTCATTTGTATAGTAAGGACAATAAGAACACCAACCTTACAAGTAGATGATGCAGAGTTTACATATATATATACACATATAGATAGATAGATAGATAGATAGATAGATAGATGATAGATATCAGAGGCCCAATGCACGAAATTCATGCAAGAGTAGGCCTTTGCAACCCCGGCTGCCTCGGCAGCCCTCGAAGCCCTGGCTTCGTCCGGAAGGTTGTCCAGAAGGTCATCCGGACAGTCATTCCGCTGTTCAGCCATTTGGTTGATTTGCATATTAAGCTTTTATTATTATAGATACACACACACATATGTACACACACATATATACATATATACATGTGTGTGTATGTATTACTTAGAAACAGCACCTGGCACATAGTTAAGTTCTGTGTACTACCATTAATACTTAAAAATATTTACTATAATAGGAATATTTTACTGTATTGTGTGTCATTCAATTTATATTAGTGGCAAATCTTTTTTCCAGTTCTGTTGATATATAATTGACATATAACATTGTATGAGTTGTACAACATAACATAATGATATATGTTATATGGCAAAATGATCACCACAGTAAGTTTAATTAACACCCATCACCTCAGTTACAAATTTATTTCCTTGTGATGAAAACATTTAATGAGTTACTCTCAGCAACTGTCAAATAAACAATACAGTATATTAACTAAAGTCATCATGCTGTGCATTACACCCCAGAACTTATTTATAATGGAAGTTCATATCTTTTTATCACCTTCACCCAGTACCCACACCTTCCATCCTCCTGCCTCTGGCAACCACAAACCTGGTCTCTGTTCCTATGACTTCATTCTTTTTTTTTCTTTTTTTTTTTAGAATCACATATAAGTGAGATTATACAGTATTTGTATTTGTCTTTCTCTGCCTGACTTATTTCACTTAACATAATGCCCTTGGGGTCTATCCATGTTGTGGCAAATGGCTGGATTTTTTCTGTTTTTATGGCTAAGTAGTATGATATTATTTATATATATTACATATAGGCAATATAGATAATAGTGTTACATTGTTAATATATAATGTTATATATAAATCACATCTCCTTTATCCAGTCATCTGTTCAACACTTAGGTTGTTTTCCTGTCTTGGGTAATGCTGCAACTATCTCTTTAGGATAGTGATTTTATTTCTTTTGGATAAAAACCCAGAAGTGGAAATGCTGGGTCATATGGTAGTTCTATTTTTAATTTTTTGAGGAACCTCCTTACTGTTTCCCATAGTGGCTGCACTGATTTACTACGTTCCCACCAACAGGGCACAAGGGTTCCCTTTCCTCCACATCCTCGCCAGCACGTTACCTCTTGTCTTTGCAATGAGGTGATATCTCATTATGTTTTTATTTGCAGGGAAATGTCTCTAAATTCATGTCTTTCATTATTGGAAGCAGTGTCATCCAAGACCATATTATTTTGCAATATTCAAAATACTTTTCAATGAATGTATCTGGTTAAGTCCATGTTGCTTTGGAAGGCAGCCAGAATGTCTTAATGTCTGATTTTGTAAATCCTGAAAGATTTTTTTCCAAGGAAAGATCCTGGAGATTAACTTTCCTGCTTAAGATGTCTATAAAAACTGTCTTCACTCTTATTTCTGATGCTTGATGTGACCCCAAACCAAATTTATCACTCACTTCCTTGATGAGTAATGATGCTTTAAAGGGGACAAGATACAGTCATGTGTTTTCTAGAGAGAGTATGCAGGGAAGAGGCCAAATATCGCCTCCCACCCTCACCCACCCCCTCACCACAATGTTGGGACTAGCCGAAGGTGTCCTTGTAAATCATGGCCTGAAACCTTCCTCTGTCACCCTCCCTGCCCTGCCCCAAGTGTGGGAAATGCCCCATGACCTGGCACCATAACTGCCTTTTAAGGATGGAAACGAGCCAGAGAGCAGAAAGGGCCTACAAAATGTGGGGTACAGAAGGGTCGTCTCTGCTGAGTCCCTTCCTTCGGTTTCTGCAAAGTTCTTTCCAGGAGTGATATTCAAATTATTTAACAACCCCAGTTGCAAGGCCCCCAACTCCAATCCCACCTGAGCCAAATATTACCCTTTTAATTGCTGTATGATGAGACACGAAGGGCAGGGTTGTCCAAGAAGCCCCAGTGGGCGGCCAGAGTAGAAGGGCAGATACTCAGGTCCCTATTTACTAAACATAAAGAGCATTTTTACATGTAATGATCAGACCAGGCGTAGTGCTTATGGGCAGGCCTGCCCTCTGCCTCAGCATCTTCTGGCTTCCTCTGGCTCTGTCTGGAAGAAGAAATCTGATGGGTGAGAGCGACTGCTGCTATCCATTGCCTTTCCTAAAGGACCCCACTCCCACCTAGGTTCTTATCTTCCAACCAGATGGAACCTGGGATAACTTACTGCCTGCATAGAGGAGTATAATCTCTCATTAATGACCGAAGCAGAGAGAGAGAGAGAGAGAGAGAGAGAGAGAGAGAGAGAGAGAGAGAATGAATGGCCAGATTCTGGTTCAAAACCTTTTGGTGATTTCTACCTTGGCCCTTGGTGTCCTTGGGTAAACCTTTGGCTTCTAAGATTCCTGCATTTATTCATTGGCACAAAAGCACCCACATTGAAAGGGAGAGAGGCACTGGACTAGGCCCCCTGGGCTTATTTGCATTTTCAAAAAGGGAATTCAAGGGGCTCAATATTTTGCTTAAACAAATAAATAAATAAAGCCCTGCCTCAGTTCCACAAGGGGCCTTGCCAGACCCTTTAAGTCACGCCATGGCCACTCCATCGACTTGTAAGTTTGGTCCAATATGACTGAAATCTCTAAATTGAGCTTTAAAAAGAGGAAGACTAGGAAATCTGAATTAGATGAGAACCCTGAAAAAAAGAGTTGGAATGTATTAGGAGAGTAAATGTACGAATGGCTTGAATGTATATACACTGAGTGGCCAGATTATTATGACCACCTTGGGATATATATACATATAGTATACCTCTATATAGTATATACTATATATATACTAGATACTAGATACTATATATCCCACGTTCAAAGGCTGTTAAATGGCGTTGTTTACCCATATCTTCAGAAAAAAATCACTTCTACTGTCGGTAAACAACCGCTTCCCTGTTTATAATGGTCTGGCCCTCTAGCAACTTCAGCGCAAAATTATAGCTAATTTGCCTACAAACATCAGGTGGTCATAATAATCTGGCCACTCAGTGTATAGAAAAAAAATCAACAATGAATCAGTG